GTGCTAGGGGATTTCCTGCTTTATAGACCCTACATGGCTGGGGGGAAAAAACATAGTGGGAACGTGTTGAATCTATTAATGGACATTTTCAATGCCTGTCTACTGAGGGCAAGGTGTCAGCTTTCCTCAACTGAATGACTCCTAATCACCTACTTTAAAAAAAAAAATCCCAGAACAGTTGCAGTCTTGTTAGCTATTGCCATGTGTTTAATCTCCTTATTCAGGATAAGATTAATGAGAAGCTAAACCCAGGGCATTACACAATTACAGCCCAGTCCAGTATATACTATATGCACACACACACACAATTTATGGCAAAACTATTGTACATCTCTTAGGTTCTTCCACTGTAAGCAAGTGCAACAGGAAAACACCATATTGTTCCGGTCAGTATAACACTTTGGTGGATTATAATGAAACTGTTCCTTGGGAATAGTGCTCAATGCTTAAGAACCACCATTATATTGAATAACGTGCCTAATATTTTAACTGAATTAACTTGTTGTTCAATAAATACGAATACACTTTCTGTGTCATTTCTTCTACTATGGATTACTTCAGCTGCAAAATAGGAACAACAACACCCTTTACAGATTAGTTATTGGTGTGTTTTACTTGTAGATTGAAGCCAACCTCTTTTTTTATTATTATTAAATTGAATTAAGAGACTTGTAAAACATGCGGGTTTATAATGAAACATATAATATTTCAGTTTGCACCTGGCAAGACTGACAGAAACCAAATTTTGGGTGGCTTGAATTTCCCTTATAAGGAATATAGATTTAACTTTTGCTGCATTACCTCTTTTAATTGAACATTGTTTTCTAGTGACTCTGCTTTATAGAGACTCTTGCTGAAAGCGAGAGAAATTGCATTTAACTGCAGGAGAGTACAGTACTTGCTTCACAGAAATTGTTTTTAAAATTCACAGTATGCTCATTTAAAAATACTCAGATACTTCAGTACTGCATCTGACAAATTTGATGGATTTTTATTTCACTAATAGCTTCAACGGGTTATGTGCGTATGTGCTGTTATGATAACTGGCCATACAAATTTAGCCTAATTGTGAGCTCAACTGTAAAAAGTGAGTGTAAGTTCATAAGATGTCACAATAACCTATAAAAAGAAATGTTGATGGGAAAAGGTGAAAAAGCGAGAAAGAGAGACTGAATTAGTCCAAACAAAGAGGCTTGCTGATTTAACTGAAAGACTGTCTTAAGATCATGCTTGGTCAACAAGAATAGTGTGAAACCAGAAATCCGTGAATCAAAATTGCTGTGCTGGAAACTAGGCCTAATTGGTAGACAATATAAGGAAGAGATGGACTATTCCACCCATCACTCCCTTTTGGGGTCCCTAAATAAAAAGACTTTGAGAGAAAAATTGGCCAGTGGAGTGAGCTTCAGGATCATGGCTGCCACCCCCCTGGAACCCTTACCCCCTTCATCTTGATCCTAAAAATATCCTGACCAGTCCAGGCTAGAGAGAGGAACCCAGCTGACACATCCACCTTCCCCAGCTCTGGCTGAATCCCAAACACCACCCGGGATGTAAGACTTTGTCCCCCACACCCTATCCTTTCCCTGCTGTGTCCTTTTTCTTCTGAACCTTATTTCTTCTCTTTCCTTTGTTTCTTCTGTCTAATAAGAATCTGGCTTAGCCAGCCAAGATTATATATTTTGCAACACTGCTGTAAGCCGATGACCAGAAAAGGCAGCTAAATGCAGTGCCCTAATCAGCCTGATGCTGGTACAAGTTTGCCAGGTCTCACAGTGGCTGATGCCAGTGTTTCTCCAGCAGTGAGATTGCAAGTGAAAGTCAACACCAATGACAAAAGCTGCATTTTCTATCTTTGTTATTCCATTTTGCATGTTTGTCTTGCTTTGTCTTGTAGGAAATGGGATCAGATTTTAACAGCAGCAGCTCCAGTCCATCTCACTTAACTTCTCTTTTATTCAAAAGGACAGTCATTACCATCTTTGATAACATCTAAAACACTGTCAAACCAGGGGACGGGGCTCCTTCTAAAAAACACAGCTAAAGGGAAATGGAACAAGGGATGTGGTTAAAATGAAAGCCTGAATTAATATTTTACATGTCAAATGCTTTAACTCTTTTCCTTTTTTTCAATATCTTTAATAAAAGGTTAAAAGGATTTTTCATAGTGTATCTGTTATGGTATTAAGCAGGCTGAGGTGTTTGTATACCAAACCCGAACCTTGTTTAAAATTGTTTAATGTTGGACAATGTCTCAATTATGTTAACACCTTTGAGCCCACATATTCCATATAAATTAGTGCAGTATGACAACAATGCTTAATCAAGCAATCCATTATACAGAAACCCTAACGTATGGTTTAACGACTGCAGATTAAAAGAAAAGTTATAAGAGTTTTGCTAAGATCATTAATAACAAAAAAAAAATGCAAGGAAATAATCCAACAGCATGGTTATTGTAACATTCTAAATCAAGAGAACAAAACTAAAGTAGACCTCGAAAACAGAAGCAACCTTGTGATATATAAATGATACAAATTAGTTTATCTTCAGAAAAAAGGTACGGTATGTATATTCACATTAAAAAGTCACTGTATGTGACACTACTGATATTACTCCACACCCATTCTGTGTTTATAAATATATATTACACATATTCCTAGCTTTCAAAAAATGTTAGAAAGCATATATAGGTAGACTTTTTTTTTCTTCTGATTTTCTCTACAGTGCTCCTCCTTTCCCCCAACCATCCAGGAGTCTGCGCAATCCTGGTACTGAACTGCCTGTTCTGCTACTGGGATTTATCCTCTTACTCACAGTTCTGAGAAGATAGGAGAGCCATAGCACATTTGCAGCCTATATATTTAATAAAAAAATGAGAGAAAGGCATGTGCAGAAGGCCACTTTGATTTCAAGAGGTGGGAAAGGAGATCAGGAAGATTAAGTGAACAAGATTGAGTTAAGAAGCAATGAGACTTGGAAATTTAAAGTTATGGAATAAAGAGGGTGGGGGACAGGAACAAACAGGAGGAAAAACTAAGATTAGTTATCCAAAGGGAGTACAGTAACCTAGGAGATGCTATACCCATCAGTGGGAATAAGCAGGGGCCATCTTGAAGTTGTACCTTATCTTTTGCTGAGATAATTTTGTGAGTATTTTTTTACTCATAACTTGTAGTAGAATACAGTATAACTGTGTATAAAAATGATAGTAGGCTTAAGCTTATGTCTAAAGGAAATATGATAATTCACTATGTAAAAACATTAAAGGACTCTTCCTGAGGTGAGAAATAATTAAAATGCTAATAAACCTAATTACAAGAAAGCATGTTTACTCAAACAATCCCAAGGGGTAGGCATATCTTTTGAAGATATAAAGGGTTATACCAGTTGAAGAGAAATCTGTATGTGAAATACTCCCTGCATTACCGTTATTATTAATTATTATTATTATATTTATAACGGTATATTAATAATAATTATTTGCATTACAATAGCACATAGATGTCTCAGTCAGGTATTGGGACCCCATCATGCTAGGAATCATACAGGTAAAATAACAAAAAGATTATTACTTTTCTAAACATGGACAAGGCTTATACAACGTTATAGTAACACAGTGACAGTGTAAAAGTTGGCCATATGTATATTTGCATCCTAGTTTAACAGCTCACATGTCTGAATTTGCTAATGTTGGCTTGAAACTTGGTTTCCAAAGACCTATAAGGAGTTGATTGTACATGGAGGACTCACCATCACTTACTGTGACCATATCAAGAGGCATGCAAATATAAGTAGGTAGCACAAGTCACAGTTCTGGAAAGCTCTGCATGGACTGAGAAATTTCCAAATGTCATCTGTCACTTGATCATTGCCTGTTAGGTTCACTCCCTCTGGGGCACCTGGCATTGGCCACTGTCGGTAGACAGGATACTGGGCTAGATGGACCTTTGGTCTGACCCAGTACGGCCTTTCTTATGTTCTTATGTCATCTAATAACCAAAGCTACCAACAGTTAACCTTTGCAATTAATACTCGGAGCCTATACTCAATCAGTCTCACAAGAGTAGAACTTGCAATGTTTGTATTTGTTTTTGTCTCTCTCTGTTCTCTATATTATTTACAAATGAGTATTACTTGGATTTGACCGTTAATATTGTTAAACATGTGATGAATGACTGTCTAAGAGACAAGAAACACTGTATCTTGTGGGAGGACCAGAATACAATTTGGCTTATCCAGTCCAAATTACACAGTTAACAAAGAAGAGGCTCAAGAGATGCCTTAGTCTGTCTATAAGGGTGCCAGGGTTGGCAGACACAGGGTCCATGCTAGCACCGGGGCTGACTTGTAATTTTCCCGGTGGGTGTTCGGCCCCTTCTCCCAGCCTCTTCCTGCCCCTACTCCGCCCCTCCCTGAGGCCTTGCTCTCGCTCCATCTCTTCCTGCTCCCGCTCCACCTTCTCTCCATGCCCCCACACTCTGAGCACCTCAAGCCCACCGAACAGGTGATCAGTGGCCCCATTGAACAGCTGTGGCTGGTGGGTGCTGACTGAGCATCCCCTATTTTTTTTCCCAGGGGTTCTTGAGCCCTGGAGCACCCACAGAGTCGGCTCACTGTATATGTTGGTATATAGCACGCCCTTTGACGTACAAGGGCATAGTTAGCTACTGCTACAGGTTCAAAGTGTAAAATACAAACTAAAACAAGACATGCACAGGATGACGCAAAACCGGATAATATAGACTTTTTTTGTGACTCTGACTCACAGTCTAGCTCACATCTAGTCCACTGAGCACCTGGGTTGGGATTTGCAAAGCTGCCTGAGGCATTGGGACAGCCAAAAGCCATGCTGAGAGTCTACATAAGAGTTGTTTCCATGTTTTTAAGACATTCTGGGCACTCTATTCTGTGCCGCTCAACATTTCCCTAAACTCCTCTCCACTACCTAGCCTATTAGCATTGGCAACCATTCATCTTACAAATGATTAAACCATTACCTCTTGAAGAACCCTCTTCATTTTCAGCAGTAACGTCTTTACAGCTGTGCAGTCCTGCATCATCAGTCGGAAGGGCAAAGATTCCATTCCTCCACCTTCTTCCAGGCCTGCAAAAGGCCACTCCACAGCAGGACTGCTGGCCACCTGGCTGACACGAGGACATCTAGCTTCTCCTTGGTCCACCTCCTTTGACAACTTCAGAGAGAGGTTCCTAAGATGAGAAAATATAAACAAAATTTGGCTCTGTGGTACTTTTTAGGCTCTCTCCCTTGATGACTATTTGAAGTGAAACATTGCTAACACTGAGCGTTCACTCTCTCTGTTTATAGTGCATATGATGAAGAGTTTATGAATAAACACAACCAACTTTTTGGAGAATAACTTGACTAGCCTTTTTAAGGCCCCATCGCCCGAGGATCTAGCCATCACCATGTATATTTAGGTAAACTTCAGATCGTTCTAGAATTGAAACCAAGCTCTCCTCCATGTCCCACAGATAAAGCCACTTTCTTACAATGTTAAGTGTACGTGGGATTTCACTTCTAGGAATTAAATTGCTGGGGATACATTTTACCCCATTTTGCTATATGCTCAAATTAAAGGGATGGGCATAAATTTACGATTAAACTGGCTACAAGGGTTCTCAACTGGGGGTCCGGACCCCTCGGGGGTCATGAGGTTATTACATGCAGGGTTGCGAGCTGTCAGCCTCCACCCCAAACCCTGCTTTGCCTCCAGCATTTATAATGGTGTTAAATATATAAAAAAGTATTTTAATTTATATGGGGGGTCACACTCAGAGGCTTGCTATGGGAAAGGGGTCACCAGTACAAAAGTTTGAGAACCATTGGCCTACATGCAATGAAGTTCACGGTCTTGTTCATTATATTAGTTTTCCATATGGCTATAACTTAGAATTTAGCCCAACCCTTAAGGAAATTAATGAGGAGGAAAACAAAAGGAAATAATTCCATTTAGAGTTGATCCAATGTCATAATTATGTTTATTTTATGGTATTGTTTGGAAACTGCAGTTTGAAAAAAGAATGAGCAATCTGAAGTTGTTAATTATCTCTATAGCTTGTGTAAGAAGAACATGGGAGAACATGTGAGAAAGGGTCTATCAAGAACCACTGAAATCAATAGAAAGACTCCCACTGACTTCAATGGCCTCTAGATCAGTCCCTGAGGCAGCAAAAGAATACCGTTATGTTAACCTGACATCCTACCCCATACCCACACTATCTGATCTTGGAACAGAGCATCAGAACAAGACATGACTCCCACTTAGATGATAACAGTTCTGAGTTCTAAATACAACATAAACTCAGAGAAAAAGCTCTAGCAATCATAAAATGATTTAAAAACAGATTATTTGGCAATTTGGTGAAATGGCAAAGCAACTAAATGCACTATGAACACGTCTGTCCTCAAAAACTTTTTGTAACCTTCATGCTGTGCCTTTTTTACCTGGGACCAATGGGAAACAGGAAGAGAATGCTACATGAAGCACAAACACCAGAATATAGTAGTAGTTTGTGATAACTGTACATTAATTAATTGTTAAATTACAAAAGGGTTTCAATGGAATTACTTGTCATATCCATACTATTATCAAAAGAATGTACTATCATTAGCGATGTTAGTATAAGTGGCAATGGAAATACAGGTCTGTCGCATCTTACGCGCATTTAACATGCGCAATTTCAGCTTTACGCGGTCGGCAAAAACAAAAACAAAAAAAAAAAAGAAGGGAAAAATAACAATTTTAATAATGTAACTGTAGTGCGGGCGATTTCGCCCGCCATTCAACTCAATGTAATTTTGACTATACGCAGTTTTCGCTTTACGCGCTAACTGCGGAACGGAACCCCTGCGTAAGATGAGACTCGCCTGTAATGCTTATTGTCCATTTAAAATACAGTAAAAATTTTCTGTTCCATTTGAAATTTTTGTAAGCAAAAAAAAAAAATGTAGTTGGTGTTTTGATTCTGAGTTTTAGGGTTTATTATTCAATGATAAAGCAAGAAACATAACAATCTTCCCAATACATTTTGCTTTAATGTTAACTTTGGTTCCACAAGAACAAACATGCAAAAAAAAAAAAAGATTCATATGTTTTTTTTTCTGGATAAACAATTCCCACTGCCACCCTAAACAAATGGAAAATGCTATTACCAGGGCAATCTCTTATGGATGGCTCATTAAGAAGTTATGGAACATCTAATGTGCATTTGGGACAATGTGAACTTGGGAAATGCACCAAAGAAGTCACTGATATGCCATGCATAGACAAATGCTTATGATGGACAATGGAAATAAAATTTTCTAAGCCTGGCTTCTTAAGAATATCACTTGGGAATGAAATAATTTTGTTTTTCATTATTAAAATATATTGAAACAACATTTTGAGTAGAATATTTTATGTGGTTCAAATGATAATCTGGGATGGATATGGTAAAGGTCTGTGAAAGCCAAGAATATTACCTAGCTGCTGATTCATGGCACTTATTAAAGCAGTCTCAGGTATAAATCATGGAAGGAAAAAGAGACAAACTTTCACTGAAGCATTAGTTACATGAGAAGTCACTTTTTTCTCTTAAATGTTTGTTTTAAAACATACTCCTATTGTGGGAATCTATATCTGAATGAGTTTAATGAAACTTACAAACACATTGTTTGACTGAAGTAAGATGAAATAGCACAATCTCCCCACCCCCACCCCCACCCATTTCCTGGCTACTGACTGCAGGTTGGCAAGTGAAATTGCACTAGAATGTCAGCAGTCAAGAAACTAAGAGAGGAACCAGAATTTCAACCTGCTATCACTCCAGAGGAGGCGGTCATGTTGCAGGCAGAATGCACCTACAGTGAGAAAGAACAGCAGCAAAAGGAGTCTTTAATAGTACGCCCGCATTAGCAAAGACAGTTTTTAATCTCTCCCAGTGCCTCTGCATCAGCAGCAGTGTTCTACTTCACTTGTGGGCACAGAAATTATCACCACCCATGGAGTACCATTATTCCAAAAAAGATATTGCTTACTAAAACCGTCATTGTGGCACTTATGTATGAAGTGGAGGTGTCCTGAGAAATAAAATAAATTTGGGTCGGATCAAAACCCATTGAAGTTAACAGAAGACTTTTCACTGGCTTCTGCTTTCTTTGGTTGCCATTAAAAGGTCAATATTTACTAGTAATTGCTTCAGAGCGATAGCTCAGACACTATGGTATTTTTGCGATACTTGCCATAGGAAATATCTCCACAGTGTTAGAAAACTTCTGAGATGTCTAGCACAACTTCTAGTGCAACTTTTGTTTAGTGCAAAGGAAGCTTTCCAAAATATGATTTTTCACCAAGCACATCATTACTAATGTATAATTATTCTGTTATGCAATTATGCAATATAATGTAATTTATCACATAACAGCACTAAAGATTTAGCGCAAAAAGGCTCTTGCGTGAATTTGTTGTATTCCCTAACTAGTAAACCCCCCCACTGCGTTTGGTGTTATGTTTCAACATTCTCAAAATTAAATGTTTCAATAAAGTCATTTCAACATTTCCAAATTGACAAATTTCAAAATTTCCATTCCACAATATATTTCGAGATTTTGACTTTTCATCCTCATTCAGTATGATCAGAAATTTTGAAATGTTGGAATTGCCTGCAGGCTAGAAATTCTATTTTTCAACAATCACAGTTCAGGGCAATTTCCATGATCTAGCTTGGGCACCCGCTCCAGGTTCCTCAGATGTCACCTCTCCTGGGTGCAAACACGCATCTCTCTTCTTTCTGACTGGAGTTTTTCCAGGCTCCGCACTTCCCTGCCTACGCTGTGAGTTCCCCAGAAAATCAGACTGCCTAAGCAGGCCTGCTTTGCTTTCTTTTCAAAGCAGTGGCATAGCCAGGTGGAGGGAACAGGGGAAGAGATTAAAAAAAAGGGGGCCACCCGCTGCGGCGCTTTTACTCACCCAGTGGCACTCCGGGTCTTCGGCGGCGAGTGAAGGTCTCGCCGCCGAAGTGCCGCCGAAGACCCGGAATGCCACTGGGTGAGTAAAATAAAAGCACCGCAGCAGGTGGTGCCTTTTTTTTAATCACTCCCCCAGGTGAGTACAAAGGCACCAAGAAATTGACAAGGTGCCACTTGTGCTCAGTGAGGGAGCGGCCGCTGCCCCGCTCCCCCACTAGCTACGCTACTGCTTCAAAGGCTACCAACAGTGTTATTGGTATAAGATTCCACACAGCTCTTATTGTGAAAGCATTACAGAAAAAACATATTAAAAACAATTAAAGAACCTACATCCATGCGAATAAGCTTACCAGAGATCACCCTCAACTCCAACAAGGGCTCAGGCAGGTGGTCAGTCCTTCAAACCCCAAGGGGTTTTTCTGTGGCTATAAGCTTATAACAGCTTTTAGCTCTGAACAGGCACACCCATGAGTCTCCTTTATAGAGTTCGGGCCTTTGATCTTGGAACCCTGGGAACAGGTCATCAGCATGCAGTCACCTTCTCTTCAGGCCCTAGCTTCAAAGGACTGGGTTTTTGCATAAGTGGAGGCAAGGGGGGGATTTGCATTCATTTTATTCTAGATATTTCCCAGGAAATACACGTCACAGGTTTTGTCCCAAAATGTTATTCTTGTCTGCCACATTATTCAATATGATCCATTGATCACCCAAGCCCACAACATTTGCATTTAATACAATGGACTCCAAAGATACTTAAACTTAATTCAGTAATATCTCCCAAAGATTTTTCAGGATATTGCCATATCCGTCACACCAACCACGTCTAGAACTGCTGCAAAGTCTGGAAATACAACAAGAGTGCTTCATATCAAAATCATTGATTTGGGGGAACAGACGCTGCCACCTCTTAATTGATTTTAAAGAGCAAAAGAGTGAGGAACTGACACAGAGGTTAATTATTTATCTAATTGCTTTGCAAACAAGGAGCAAGAGGAAACAATCTACAATGATTCTGTTTACATCTAGATTTCATTTGTGTCTGAACTCCTTTTTTTTCTTTAACAACCTGACAGATTTCAATGGGATTTAGGCATCGAGGGGCTTTGGAAAATCCAACTAGGCCCCTATCTGGAACTTTACATGCCTAAATACCTTTAAAAACCTGGCCCCTAAACTCTAATGCATTCTCAGATGGACCAGTTTTTAGAAGCTGTAGGCCCTTCTCCAAGAATGCCCTGCT